TTAAGGGAGTAGTTTAATTTGTCTCTTTCAGTATCTACATACTTTGTGGATTTCTGTCGGCTTCTTCTCAACAATTAAGCCTTAAGTCAAGTGATGTTGGTAAAAGTTTATCCAAAGTTCTGCTCAGGTCCTGGAACAACGGTTCAATCAGATCGAGGTCCAGACTTTACCTGAACCACAGCGTTAGATTGTTATTGCCTCTCTTCAGCCATTCTGTTGCAGATTTAGATGTTTAAGGAAAGCAGAGTTTGGATCATGCTTTAACTGTCATGCAAAGGATCTCGTCTTTTCTGCAAGGAACCCAAGTCCTAGTACTGCAAAAGAAGCTGCACTGATCCCTGCACCACCACAGCTGGTTTTAGGTGTTAGTGCTAACCTGAGGTATTTGGTTTCCTGCACACTGGGTCTTGCTGAACAGCCCAAAACTCTTTCTTTATGTTTTGTTTCTCCCAGATGCAGCTCTGCCAGCAGCAGTCAGGATGTTCTTTTTTCAAATTCAAAACAAGCTGCACTTGAGCATTTTTCTGATTTTACTGTGATGAACTTTATGATTCTTTAAAACAAATTCCAGACTGATGAGCAGAAGCAATCTGAGCTTAAAGGTGATGATTGATTTCTTTGTCTAACCAAAATTATTTCACCGACTGTTTAGTGATTAAACCGTCTAAGAGAAATTGCAGTTTTGTTTGAGTTGTATTTTTTGTTTTTGTTTGTATCGGTGAGAAATCTGCCTTTCTGCAAACTTGAGGTTAGATTTCCTGTTCAGGCTGCGTCTGTAAGCCCTGCTGTGCTTCATTTCATAAATACAGACTCACAGTTTGAAAATTTGTTCTGCTTTAGTGCTGTTTGTTTTACTCTTCATGTTGCATTATCTTTAGAGATTTCCAAAGCTTTTGGACTTCAGTTACGCTCAGTCGGCTGGACTCTGTACCCTGCTGTATGCATGATTCACCTCTGTGTCTTTCTCATTGCACAAGATTAGATCTAATGAAATCCAGATCCTTTTGGGGGGGGCGTAACGGTGTAAACTAGCTCCAAATATCGACTTGAATTTCTTTATCTAAATACAATAAAGCTATCTTCTGCTCGTTTCTGGCGTCTGAGAGTTGGTGTTTCCCCATTCCTCCCCTAAAATTGGAACATTTCTCCACAGAAGTGATGTTACCGTGTCACATGCTGCTGCCTCATAAGCTACAACTCTGCTTTTAGCTTAACTTCCTGTCCATTGTTTCCTGGAAACTATCATGTGGAGAACTTTGCTTTGTGCTGTTTTTTTTTGGGACTGTTTGCACAAACAATCCAGTGAGTGTTGCAATAAGGCATGCAGAATCCGTATTCTATGCTCAAAGTTCACGTCTCAGAGATCATCCTACAGGCTGCTTCTGTCCCCTGAGAGCGCTTTCTTCCCTCACACCACATTTCCTGCAAAGGCGGGCTCTTTCTCCGATGTCAGCCTTGTTTGGAAGCTGGGAGCTCCCAGGGGGCACGTTGGACGCTTAACTATTTCAGACACATGAAGCACATCTCTGTAGTGCGGATCCTAACTGGTGGAGACAAGCAGACGCACCTGTGTCACACTGCAGGGTGCTGCAGCTGAGCACAGGGTGTAACCCACAACAGCTTGCATGATCTGCTAAATCTCCGCTAACATGAAGTGTTGCCTCCTCCTCTTCGGCTTGTTTGATGTAATTCAGGACGATGTGCTTAACGTGAAATGAATGCCTCGAGCTGTGCAGAGCGGAAGGCAGATTACCAACTAAAAAAAGATATTGTACAATTTTCAGAAATGTGTCTTTTTTTCTTTTCTTTTTAAGAGATTTAAACATATTTTTTCTGTTTGTGAAGAAACTTTTTTTTTTAAACATTTCTGATTCATTTATTCCCATAATGTCAGATGTAGAGACTTTGACTCTGAATAAGTAACACTTTTGCAGGCTGGATATTATAAACAGCACCCATCGCTCCTCAGTATTTCATCTCAACTGAACAAATAAAATAGTTTTATCTTGTTTTTACATAGATTCACATGAAAAGAGGTTGGAAGTGGAGGCATTGTTTTGCTTTTTCTCGGTTGGATTAGAAGGAAAAAGTATAACCTTACTCACATAAAAAAAATGATGTCCAGATATCACATCTAAAATATTTGACTTCACTAAATTTGAATTTACTGTAATTACTTGTTATGACCTGATTATTTTAAATTGATAAAAACAATAATACTGCAGTTGACCCAACATTTAAGTCGTAGGGAAATCACATTTAAATGTCAAATCATTCTGGCTTAAACATGTATATAAAGTTACTCTTTATCAGACAATATTGTCCCAAAAATAAGGACATTTCTATAAAAAAAAAAAAAAAAAATCCTTTCTTAAAATCAGTTTTTTCTTTTCCGTTATCTTATGCAGGCCAGTTTAATTATACGTCAGCTTGAACACCTAAATTCGGCCAATCATATATCAACGGTCATTTGTCAATCAAATGTTTTCAGTCATAGCCTCTTGATTCATATGTCGCAGCTAATATACGCAACGGTTGGAATAAGAAATAAGAGTCATTTCCTTTCCTATTAAGTTCCGTCCCAGTGTTCAGCAGGCGTAGAGCTAACAGAACTGGCAGCGTTGCGAGGCAAGGGCTCAAACATGTACGGCTGTAAGCCTTCTACACCAAACCAAGCTTCTGCCGCCCTGGCGTCCTCTTCCACAACATCTTCGTTCCCGCTTTCCTCCTCTAAATAAAAAATGGATGACAGAGGAGACTCATCCACAACCTCCAACACAAAACTCTCCTCCTCTTGCATGTTTCCTCTGTCCATAGCGTTCCTTGACAGTGTCGTTTCTAAGTCACCAATTTAGTGCTACTTGGTCCCAATGGAATTTCCCATTGGGAACCTACTAGCACTAAGTTGCTAACTGGTTAGCAAGATGCTTCCGAGAAAACGGCCCAAATCAAACTTGTTTGCAAACCTGTATCTCCCTTTTTCGAATATAGATTAAGAAAATAACTTGGAAAATATTTAAATTCTAGTATATTTTTGGAAAGACAGGATAAATTAAAACCTCTTTATTTAAAAAGTGACATTTCTCATAAATCCTTTACACATAGAATAGTGTTTACTTACTTAAGTCATGTATTTTGGATACAGCTCAAAGGTACTGGATATCTGGAATTAATGGGCTTTCTCCTCTATAACAGGCATAATAAACACATTTTTATAAGAACATACTGTTGATGTTGACATTTAGGATAACTTAATTTTTTAGCACAATTCAGTGCAAAGGCAATTCAGAGTACTTTGTGCCAGGTAATGTCTTTCAACTGTAGTTCAAACCTTGCTGACCAAAGCTTTGGATGTCCTCTGTTCATCTAATGATGAAGTCTAGAACTTATTGGCTAACTGGGAAGAAGCAAGGAGGTGGCGCTGCATGGGAGCCAACAATTAAATAAGAGTGACTATTTATGGAATATAAACTAATAGGGGTAAAGACATCTTAAAAGGATGGATTTTGCATGGAGCATGGAGTTTGTATGTTCTCCCTGAGCATGCGTGGGTTCTCTCCGGGTACTCCGGCTTCCTCCCACAGTCCAAAAACATGACTGTTAGGTTAATTGGCTTCTCTAAATTCTCCTTAGGTATGAGTGTGTGCGTTAACGGTTGTACGTCCTGTTTGTCTCTGTGTTGCCCTGCGATGGACTGGCGACCTGTCCAGGGTGTACCCCGCCTCTCGCCCATTGACAGCTGGAGATTGGCACCAGCAACCCTCGCGACCCCATTTGGGACAAGCGTGTCAGATAATGGATGGATGGACATCTTAAAAGGAGGCAGTGAAGAAAATAGAACTGTTGGACCATAAACTTACACTAATGATTTAGTAACTTTAGTTCAGGTTTAACTTAAAGGTTTTACTTTGTTATGACTTTGCAGAAACAAGAATAAAGTCTAAGACGTAGATGCAACTATATTCCGAATGACTGAAGATCATCTCACTTAATGTCTCCTACAAGGCTATAAGCATATTTGCTCCAAATGTTGTGTCTACTCATAGACTGCTGATGGCAAACCTACGTTGTCATGTGGCGACATCACTTTAGACCCACCAACTGTGATGGCCGCAGCATCTATCCTATGGATGAGATTTGTCCCAGTTTTGGTCTTTTTACCCTAGTTTAACTCTTCCTGACCAAAGCTGTGGTTGTCTGCAGCAGGTCCAGAGGTAAAGTGTGGAACTTGTTTTGCTGGCTGGGAAGGAGCCACGAGGCGGCGGTTGCTTGTCTCCCACGGTTGCGATAGGCAGAGCGGCGCTGAGCGGCAAGGGCTGCCCAATGCCGCTCATGGCTTTGCTGCTGACACAGCTGAGTTTCCCCACTGCGTAACAATAAAGGATATCCTATCATGTCCTCGGTGTGTTTCTGACCAGGAAGTGGTAGGTAGTCGGCTTCATTAACTTGAGGAAACCCAATAACTTAATTTTTTTTCTGCACCAATAAGAATCCAAGAAGGTTCTGAGCCTCAAGTAAATACTTTAAATGGATCTTAATCCTACATCTGTACAGGAAATAAGATGCTAAAAGGGACTGGATTGATTTTTGCAAAGCTGCTTTTCTTTTTGCAAGAAATATTGTAGCGTATTATGGTAAAAAATGTTGATCTATGGAATCATGCCAACACCTTCAGGCGGTTATTAAAATGTATGGTTACAGTTTTGGCCTTGTGCAAATTGTTTTTTTTTTGATGATATAACAGAAGACATTGTTGTCAGTTTAGATTCCTGGAAGCTAACAACATATATTTATTCTGGGTCAACAGCCGATGTCTTTAATGTGAATTCATGCTGGATTCTATTAGAAGACGAGGCGTTTAGAGTCGATCGAAGGTCTCATCTTTTCAGCTGGTTCCTCTGTGTTTGTTCCATGTCTGACCTGCGCAGCTCTCTTAGGATATGCCTCCACCAGGAGCAGCTCTGTGATTTTTCTGTCCTTTCTCTTGTTTTGTGGTCCAGGTGGAATCGCGGGACACGTTGAACAGCATTGCGCTCAAGTTTGACACCACACCCAACGAGCTGGTTCAGCTGAACAAGCTGTTCTCCAGGGCGGTGGTGCCTGGCCAGGTGTGAACCGCCGTGCACGCCTTCACTGTAGCCTCGGACCTCCAGCCACCCCTCCAACACATGAGCACATTTCACTGCTCCGTTGTGCTTTCTCATTGGTTTGCCTTCATCACAAACTGACTCTATGCTGCATATGAGGATAAATGTGAAAAAAAAAAGTTAGGGATCACAACACCCCATGTGTTTATTTTTTTTCCACCTGATTTCACAGAGCATCGCTGACTCACTAACCACATCTCTATCTGTCCTAATTGCCGGCTAATTACAGCATCACTCATCCCAATAGGCTGCAGTACGTTCTATAAGACCCATTTTGTTTCTAAAAAGATTTAAGAATACGTGGTTCTTGGATTCAAGCCCCATGCGTTCCCGCATCACACAGTTTAACCATCTTTTACCTGCCAAACACTTTCAGTAATACTTGTTGGGTTGTTGTTTTTTTTAAGGGAAAGAGGGCAACATGTCTATTTTGTCTCTGCATTTCCTGGCTCCAAAAACTGAGTCACTTAAAGGGACCCAAACCCCAGCCCAGCCCGCTGGCACCCATCACTCCACCTCAGCTCTCAGCAGGTAGAATTTGAGAGCATTATGGTCTCTTACTCAGTCATGGTCCCCAGCTTCCACACAATAAGGAGCCCAAAGGCTGAAAATACATTAGGATTAATGTTTAATCTCACAAACTATATAAGCAGAGATACAAGTTATCAAAAAGGAAAGGAGAGATTAAAACTTTAAACTCCTTAAACTGTTTAATGTCCTTTACCCATTACAGACAGGTTTAAAATAACAGTCCTTCTGTAGAGAAACACATGCAGAACTCTATTATAGCTGTTTGACCCACCATTTAAAACAGATTAAACTTACATAATATGATGAACTCCATATTAGTGGATATGAAAGTTAGGATATATTTATGGCCATGTTCTCAACGAATAACCTAGCTTTTTAATGCTCTGTTAATGCTCTTAGAAATAATTTTAATGCCATCAACAAGTACCTATTCTTCTCATATATATATATATATTTGTGTGTGTGTGTGTGTGTGTATATATGCATATGTGTGTATATATATATATATTAGGGGTGGAACGGTTCACAAAATCCACAGTTCGGTTCGATTCACGGTTTCGTGGTCATGGTTTTCGGTTCGGTTCGATTCGGTATATGTTGATTGTTACACTGAAATCCCATAGAAATTAATGAAATTAATGAAAAAATCCCCCCAAAAATAATGGATTGTAATTATTTTAAATGATCCGCGGAAACCCTGGATCATTTCCGTATGTTTTGCTGCTTTGAATTTAATCATCTGGCGCATGCTCTTTAGCCTGACAACAGCCAGATGCATGTCACGCTCATGCATCTGGCTGTTGTCAGGTTACATGCTCTCTACCATCTCCAAGGGACTCAGAGCGGAGCAGACGAAGCCACAGTGGGGGCTGTAGGCTTTGCTTTGAGCAGCCGGTCTGGAGCACAGCGCAGCGGAGCGGAGCACTGACGGAGTATGAGGGATTTCGGGGTTAGCATGACATGTTGGTCATGTTGCTGTTAGCATTAACAAAACGTGTTGCACAATGCTTGCACACTGTTGCACATTTATCCACAACTTTCTTTCCGCCGTCATCGTAGGTCACTCTAAATGCAAAGCGGTCCCATACAGCAGACCTATAAAGTGCTGCTGGCGCGTCTTCCAACGCCTGTTCTTTCCCACTCGCCATTCCGACACAATTCTCCACAACAACTGATTTTTTTCCCCTGCTTCTTCTTCTTCTTGTTTACTACTGGTGGTTGGCTTCGGTCGCAGTACCGCCACCTTCTGCTCTGGAGTGTAATCGCTTCGCCTATGAGAAAAAGGAGCAGCGCATGAACCGAACGAAACACACGCGAACCGAACTGAGACAGTCTAACCGAACGATTCGGACGGTTTTCATAAATCGCCCCATCCCTAATATATGTATATATATGTGTGTATATATATATATATTTATAGACATATATATACACATATTTGTAACCATTTGTTATGACCCGGCTGGACTGGTCGCAACAAAAACTGGGGGGACACGGAAACAGGCAGTACTTTAAGCCTGTAAAAGGCATTTATTTAGCAGAATCAAAAGAATGAACTAAATGTCAGCATCAGACGGCAGCTCGGATGGGGCGATCACGCCTGGTCCCTCCACACCAGAACCCCGACCTGGTCCGGACTGGACTGGATGGCTGTCTGCGGCGTGCTTGCTTCAACCAGGAGACGCGCCTCTCAAGCAGGGAACACCAACGCTCTGAATGGAACGGCGCTCCTTAAATATCAACCAGGTGGCCGCATAATGGAAGCGCCTCCCACCTATATATGTATATGTGTGTTAATAAGTTTTTTTTATTTTTATGAGTCATGGGTATTTGTTGATGGTATTAAAACATTATAAAGCATTAAATTAAAGTTACTCATTCCTGTCTAAACCTTTTAAGGGTTGCATATTATGAAGTTTAAGGTAATATCTATAAAATTGTACCAGTTTACACATAACTTTCCAACTGCATCAGAAACCTTAGTCCTCTGACGATACGACCAGTTTTAAGGAGATCTTTCCCTGGGATTTTATAAAGATCACAGTTTGTAGAAATAAGTCTTTCAAAATTGCCTCTAGCTGTCCCATGCTGGATGATTCTCCCTTTCCTGCTAAATGAGGACAATAAAAAAGATACTAACTGCTCATTCACTCTCATTAAAGTCTTATCCAAAAAAAAAAGAAGCCAAAATCATTTTAAATTCACTATTAGTTTTCTCTGTAGGTGGTTTATAGAGCTGCTGAATGCCATGCTGGGTTATGGGCTTAGAAATGGATTGATTTTTAATTTTGTGACATTTTAGAAACTAAGCGGTGAATAGATTTATTTGTAGAAATCACATTTCCTCTTCTATGATGTCAAATATAGTCAACCTTGTGAGCAGAATGGAAGCGTATAGGAGTTTTACACCAGCTAGGAAATGCACGAGACATCGCATCCAGTCACTGCTAATCCTCACACTCTGACCTACTGCCACCGTCGTCACTTTCCCCGTGTCTGTTCACTGTTTCACTAACATGAGACTCTCACCATGAGTTCATGTTTTTGCCCTTGTCAGTCATATGTTTTGCTGTGCATGACAGAATCTCCATCTTTCACCTGCGCTGGTATAAATACAGACATGGGTTATGTTTGCAGGTTCTGTACGTTCCTGATCCCGAGTACGTCTCCAGTGTGGGAAGCTCCCCCTCCCTCAGTCCCATCAGCCCCCTGTCTCCCACCTCCTCTGAAGCTGATTTAGAGAAGGCGACGGTATGTTGATGCACTTCCTCACACTCAGAAAAAAGGCAGGCAGATAAACTGATTAAAGTGTTTGTTTCAAAAAGAAAATACTGTCAGCATTTACACTTATCACAACTGATGGTATCTGTCTGTTGTTGCTCTTTGTTTGGATACGCTGATATCTTGGAGAATTTCCGTCGCTGAAGCTTTTTGGTGATATTAAGATCTCCACAAAGGATCACATGGTAGATTCTCTGTTGCAGATTTAACAAGTAAATAGACGTTCATCTTTACATCTTTATTGCTTCCACTTTCCACACTTAAATCAAAATAAGTCTGGAGAACCTAAAGAAATATAATCTAAAGAAAAAAAAAAAAAACGTAAATGTTCACAATATTTGTTTTTTTGTTTGTTTATATGCCAGTAAAACTACTTTGGCTGCATATGACGTCTTTGTGAAAAACAATGCCAGCATAGTTTTAGTTATTTTTGCTGTTTGTTAGTAAATGTAGCCTTTCTGTGTTTATTTACCACGATAACATCATGAGTCCAGGATTACATCACTGTACAAGAATACAACTGGTCAACAAGCCAAAGCAATGGAGGCGAGTGAGCGTGGAACTCAAAGAGTAGTTACGAAAAATAGGGAATAGTCCAAGATCAGGTGTAAAAAGGCACAAGAAGATGTTTTATTCAAAGGGGTTAAAAACTGAGTTTTGCTAGGAAAACAGTCTGACTGTTGGAGCGAATTAGAGCTGGAGCTAAAGCTAAGGTATGTTTTGGATGCCGCTGTGAAGTTTATACACCATAAGGGCTGCCACTAACGATTATTTTGCAAGTCGATTATTTTCTCGATTAATAATCTGATAGCCAAAGGTTTTTAGAGGCATACTATGCAACATTTTTCAGTTAATTAATGTGTTCCATAACGCTTTGGATGATTAAATGAGTCATTTCAGGTCGAACAAAGGTATTCTCTGCCGCCCTGGTGGTCTGTGGGGGAAATAACGTACTTGTAATTGCAGGAGCCCTCGGCCCGCACCCACAGGCTCAGAAGTCTCGTGCATCGTGAGAGTTGGTCTTGCTTTAAAAGTGAGAACTGCTACACGCCCCCAGTGAAAGGCATGCTCGTTGCTAGTGCAGTGGCGATATTTGTGCAGTTATCATGGCGGAACCAGCGAGAAAACAGCGAAAGCCCATGTTGGAGCAGGCAAGAAAGAATCACCACGTCTACTGCAGTAGACGTGGTGATTCGTTGCGTTCCCCTGTCTGCTAAGCTCAAAACAACCGGGCCTGTCTTGATGGAGAAACCAGAAGAACATCTGAGCATATTTACAGCAGTGCACTTTTACTTTTGCCCCTCGCTGGAAAATCTACACCGGTTGCATAGTATACCTTTAAAGAAGAATTATTTATTTATTTTTTTTTTTTATTAAGTCAGATGAAACTAAACTTTTCCACTTGAGGAGTTCTGGATAGAGAATATTGACAGACGAAAACGTTTTTTTGTTTCTTTCTAAAAATGTAAAATCTTTTTTTTTTTTATACAGTGTTGGATAACTACTGCTCTAAGTGGGTTGCCCTGTCAGCTAAAGGCATGTTTTAGAGTCTATTGTCCTTTTAACGATTAATCGTTAGCTGAAGATTATTTCAATAATCGATTAATTAATCTGATTAATTGTTTCAGTCCAACACACGTTTACATGTCTTAGCTAATGTTGCTCCTGGTCCTATTAACACTTTTAAGGCCTTTTCTCGGAGCAGTCGTCACAACATGGTCAGGACTTATTTATTAGCTGCATCAGTGACCATCATCTGGAGTTCTGGTAGTTTAGCTGTACCGCCTGCAGATGGCGCTACGTCGGTTTATGTAAATCATTACGATGCTGAGGTTCTATGTAGGCTAAAAAAAGATGATTAAATCAGGACAGAGTATAAAGCCTTATTTTATCATAATCAACTGGATCTTAGTCTTTTTGATGAAGGCATGTAACTTTTAAAGTTCAGCATCTAGTTAGCCTTAAGCTAACCCTCCAGGATGGTGTTTCACAGACATAAAACCTTCCATGTGGACTTCAAGGACAATCAGAGACATGTGCGTCCATGCGAGTGGATGCACTGCCTATGATCACTAACAGTCTTATCGGGTCATTCTTGTGGGGGGGGGTGTTGGCCTACTGGTTAGAGCAGCGGGCTTGGGCTCTGAGAAGGTTGCAAGTATCCGGTTTGATCCCTGCAGCCTGAACTCTGGCTCTCAGCAAGATCCATAACCCCACACTGCTCACAGGGCGCCACACGATGGCAGCCCTCTGCTTCCCAAGGAGATGAGTTAATGCAGAGGTAAATTTCTCCAGTGTGAGATCAATGAAGTTAAATTATTATTATTATTATTATTATTCTTTTGGGAATTTTTTCTTTGGATCCTGAAATATTTCAGTCCCTGCTCACATTCTTCCTTTAGACCAGAAGCTGCGATTGCATCATTTAGTCATTCTGTGAATCACAAAAAAATATTTTTTTCTTTTCCAATCTTAATACTAAACCGAATTTGGCTTAATAGGATTAGTTTCTTGTTAAACATGATGAAAGTATTGAGGTAGCTGATCCTCCTTTTCAGTCAAAGATGTTTCCTTTAATTAGACAAATAATCAAATCAATTGTTCACCACTTGCTGCAGTCAGAATCAACCACTGATGAACAGAAACTTCATGCAACTGATGACAGGAAGTGTTTTTAAATGTTTCATTCAGAGTAAAACCAGCAGTGCAGACATCCATCAGAACAGATCAGAGTGGGATCAGAGCAACTGAAGATTAAATGGAAAACCTGAAATATTTGTGGACAGTTTGATCATTGTTTATAACATTCAGTTTGTTTTCTTGCCTACTTCTTTCCCTAAAACATGGAAACCATGCATCTTTATTAGATATTTATTGAAGGGAAAATATATTTAAGAGCAAAATAATACCACAGATTTAAAGACATCTTCTCTGTATCGCTGGATATGTACTATTATGTAATAGAGGTGTAAATAGTAATCGTTTTGTATGGATGCAGACGATCCAACAGCCAATCCAACGATATCTTTTTTTTTTTTTTTTTTTTTTTTTTCCTCCGGTCTGTTTTTATCCATTTGCTCCTGGATGTAATTCTGACTCCTATTTTGCCCTCCTACCTCGCTTCCTTTACCCACTACCCTCTTTCCGCTTGCACACACAAACGCACAAACAGTAGGCAAGACAGATGCAGTGAATGAAGTAAAGGCCTATTTTTTGTTACCATTTGCTGCTAGTGCACTTTTGCACTTATTGCACAGATTTTGTTGAGTATTGTTACTCTATATTGAATGTATCTATAATCTATAACACAGAGGCATTATTATTTTTCAGTGAATTAGGGTTTCATACCCCTAGGTGGAGTACAACTTTGCTACTACGCAGAGGGGCGTGGAAACGTCATTTCGCCTGGCGGACGCGTCAAACATAAATCAGGGGTTAGATTTCCAAAAGCCTGCCTACATTTCTGCCCTCATCCTGTTCAGTAACAGGAGGAAAGTAACAGGGACAACAAAGCAGCTTTAGTTCGTTCCCAGTAGCTTTCCTGTTATCTGCTGAAGCCTGACCTCATTTTAAGGCACCAACATGATGAAGAAGAAGAGATACATCTCTTAAGAAATTCATTACAAAGTTCATTTTCTAAAACCTTGGATTGTGAAAATGGTGTATTCAAAGAATTTATTTTCCAAAATGATATTTATTTTATCATTTAAAAATGTTCCTATTATTAAGTGGGACATTTAAATGCTGATTCATTTATATTAAATGTTTGATGTGAGGAAAGTCGAGGTAATCGGCTGGTTTTCCTTAGATAGAAAACTTTGAACCAATCTGACTGGATGATCTGGTTAAATTGTCTTTGCAAAGTGCATTGAGATTACGTGTTGTGAATTGGCACTATAGAAAGGAAATGAATTTAAATATGATTGCGCATTTTATAATTTAAACATTTATTGTAATGTTTAAATGAATATAAATTAAACGGGTTCTTAAACATTTCTGCCTGCAAACCCAAAGATAACAATGGAAGAGGTTGGAGAACTCCTAAAATGCATATAACTATTTATCCTTTATTTAGTAAATAGCAAATAATTCTGTAGATTTTTAGATGCGTTCTTTGAAAATGACTTTTAATTGTTTATTTTTATATATTTATTGTAATTGTACACTTAATTATTTCTCTGTTTGTTTCACAGTTTAATTTGGTACAACCTGACCCCCATTTTGGGAACCCCTGCCTAAAATCACAAAAATTCAGCATAAAAATGTTTTTTTTTTCATTTATGCATAAAGCTGATTTACGTTAATATTCCTTTCATTGGAAGAAGGATCGGCTTGTGAACCGTTTCAAGTCATGATTCAGACGCTGGAACAGGAATGTGTGAAATCTGCTATTATTGAAACTTCCTCTGTAGATTCTCTGCTTTAATTAGTAACCAGGACCATCTGAGTCTTTGTTTTGTCTCCGTTTACAGAGACACTGATGTGTGACATAAAAACAGTGAGGCTGTAGCTTCATCTCTGCTCTGACATGATGGACCGGCTACACAGCATGTCAATCGTGATTCTTCCCACTTCCACAAACAACACATGCAGAGAAAGCCGCAGATTGATTCCCTGTTGTTTGTGTCCGCGGCGGCGAGTGCAGATCTGATCCAGTCGGCCGCACACATCCCGTCCTCATGGCTCTTAGCAGAAGCGCTTCAGGTAGCGTCTGCAGCATCTCAACGATCCAATCACTGAGCGCCGCAGGAAGCCCACTAGTCCCTTAAGTAATGTGACTGTTTGTTGGTTTCCATAGAAACGGGGATCTTGTTTTCTGCGTTTTTGCAGGAAAATGGATGCTGCAGGTCTCTGCTGCCATCCCTTCTGTCTTCAGCCGGGTTGGTTGGAGCCTCCCCTCCCCTCCTGTCGGCTCTGGTCCCTGTCGGTTTATTTTTCGGTGGCTGCCAAAAGAAAAAGGCCTCCATTCA